AATTAAACATGGGAAAACAAGATCTTGGTAAACCCTTGCAAAAAATACTGAGTCACAATTTCCCTTGTTTTCACTATCTTACCCCTTTCTCCATTTATTCAGACCCTTTTAAAAATTGATTAGCTGAGGCCACAATTTGTACTCTGGATAGGCTTCTGAATTCAGTTATTCAGGTTGAAATTGCCCCATATCCATGTGTATTATTTACAGATACATGTATAAAAAAATATGCTAACTGCAATGTATCAGGTGAGCCATTTGCAGGATTTGATATTTTTAGAGTAGTTGGTGCAAACAGATATTTTATGGTTTTGAGTACAGTTTCAGAATTCGGTTTGATTCTTCTGTGCAATTCTACAATCAGTATTTTCTTAAATTTCACTACATCTTGATATGTGAATCTTTCCTTTTAGGAGAAAACAGCATGGATGTAAATTAATCTACATTTTCATCAGTAAAATTATAGATGTAAGGTTTAACTAATTCAGTTCTGCTTAATTTATTTCGAATTTGAAAGAAAAAAGAGAGCAAGAAGATTGCCAAAGAATGTTCTTTCAGTACAATATGGTTTTAGTATTTCAACAGACAAGTGCAAATAAAATGATGTGGTGGTGAAAAACAACTTCAGCTGAGCTGTTTCAGTAACCTGGGTACCCCAAAAACCTTGGCTGTATTAGGGGTTTATAAGTGTTGTGTCAGACTTTAGGTTTATACAGTGCAGGAGTTTAACACGGGGTCCAGTCTATCTTGTTATATTTCCATAATTTTTTCCAGATTTTTTGTTTGTTGAGATAGCAAGAACAACCTGGAAAATGATGCAGACAAATCTTGACAAATATTTTAAACAAAGTACTTTTTAAACTGCATGGACTTGGTTTAATGCAGTATAAACATGGAAGTCAATACTAAGAGTTTCTGCCTATATAAAGGCAAACTGCACAAAAGTTGCTTGGAATTTATACACATAGTGATTTAGTTCTGAATGCTTTTGGAATATGCTGCTTCTGGGTTCTCCTCCAGCTTCTGAGTGCCTATACAAATATTTTTGAAAAACTTCTCTGGCATTTAAAACATGAGTAATCCTTAAACCTTTAAAAATAACTTATATTTCTAGCAGTGTTAGTGCCTCCTAATGAGAAAATGAGAGAACTGTCAGCAAGAGGGAGATTTAAGAAGACAGATTTTTTTTTTGTAAGCTGGTAGAAGGACACTGAATATGTGTTCAGCCATTCTTGTCACTGGAAGAGGCAGACACGCAGTGCAGGTGAATTTGATCTCAATCTGCATCTCCTTCTAAGGATCTTTAGTAACTAATTCCAGGTGTCTGCTCTCCTCTTCATGGTCCTCAGCCTCTGTGCTTGTTAACTGTACAGTCTGTGCCAGCCTTGCTTCTGCTGGAACAGATTTCATACAGTGAGCTAACAATGAACAGTTTAGTTAAAGCACACTGACAGAGTATGTACTGGGGATCTGCTGAAGAACTGGCTCTCTGTGTCCTGCCGGATGGGCACAGAGTTCCTGTCCATATATATGGCAGTATTGTATATGTCAAGGTTTTCAAAGTCTTGGCTCTTACATACAGCTGTTGAATAGACCACAAAGAACCAGCCTATGGAGACAGATAGAGCAAAACATCAAGATGATCAACTGAAGATAAAACCCCCAATTCTTTCCTTTCAGAAGGCCTGTGCCAACCTTACTTTCTGCAATCTGCCTGGCAGTGTGAATGAGTAGCAACACTTGTTTTGATGCAGTATTCAGTCTGCCTGTTTAGGTTTTTTATTCAATACAGTACTAAATTATGGTAAAAAGAGTGGTATAAACATCACAGCTGTTTGTAGAGGTTTCCAGACAATATAATCGCTCAGAGGGTTATTGTCCTCTGCAGGAAATAAAACAAAAAAAGATGCCTTTCTTGAAGACTTTTTAATCAAAATTAAAACCTACCAAAAGAAGCTTAAGCAGTACAGAAGGAAATAATTTGAAAGAAACTGGTCTCTGTTCTGTTACTGGTGAATTCAGTCACTTGGAACTTGTTCGTTTTGCTTGGTTTGGGATTTTTTTTCACACATGTTCTCCTTTAAAACCATAGTATGGAGTTCAAAGACAACCCTAAAAAAATTATTTATAGGAGATTTTTTTACTCTTATAAATAGACAAAAAATATATAGAAAGAATGCTTTTATTTTGCAGTAGGGTTTTGACAACTTTTTTTCCTAAATAATGTGTTTCCAGGTACAGTGTAAGCACTGAATGAAGAATTAGTAGCATTTCTTATAAGTGGACTTTTTAGCTGAGAAATTTTTAAGTAGAACTTTACTGACTTATGTAACCATAAGGTTATGAGTTCAAGTTAAATTCTTGATTAATGTCATTGATTTGGTCTGTGGCTTCACCACATAAAGGGAGTGAATTCATTTTGAGGTGGTGAAGAATTGATAATGCTTTGAAAAAATGATAGTACCATGATTACAGAAGTGAAGATACTGCAAAAAAATATACAGACTTGTAAGAAAGAATCTTAATCAACAGAAGTTGGCCAAACTCAGTCTCAGTGCAAGATATCCTACAGCTCTGCCAAGGTATAATGGAGTAAACTTTCTGGAAAGAAATCAGAGAGAGATTAGTTGGCATTGCTAGTGAAGTATTGCTTTACTTCAGTGTTACAGGTATATGACATACAATATATGTTTCAGAATTCCTATACTCTGCAGGTTGCTGTAGTACCTTAGATTTAAGAGCATTTCCGAATACCTCTGTGATTTTTCATGTGTTAAAAAACTAAGCATGTGGGAAAGTGTTTTGAAGAATCAGGGCATAATTTTCCTTAATAATACAATTGATTTCTAAGGGACTAGTTATGGAGAAAAATTTGCTCATCTTGAGAAAAGGGTGGCAGAACTCTGCCTAATAAATAAAATTTTGGAAAAGACACTGTTTTTTTATAGTCTTTTCCCTTGACAATCTAAGATTGTTCCTTATAATGTTGAATGCTCTATTTTTTAGCACTGTATTTAATTTAGTTGTAAATGACTCAAACTGTGGTGCTTCTACCACTTCCCTAGTCTATATCATAAATCAGAATTTGCATGTGTTTCTTTGTTTGGTATTGCTCAATAAAACAAATAACAACAGATCTGAAAAAGAGGTCAGAAAACTGCTTATTCTTAATTTATGTGAATGATTGTTTATCTCAGTGTTATGTTTAAATGCATAATGACTTCTGCCACAAGAATCTGCCACAGATTGTATTTGATTAATGAATACCATTATTTGCTATTGGCCTGAAATATTTATCTTTATCTAAATTTTTTTTTGAGAATGGGCAGTTTTAAACTTAGATTAAGCACTTCTGTATAATATCTATTTCTACTCCTAGACAAATCACCCTTTTATTCAATAACATTACTATTCCAAGCTTTACCAAGTAATTTCCCAGTAATATAGTATAAAACTGTTTCACTGTCTGAAACAATCAACTTCTGCACAAAAATCAGTTGAATAGAAAAGAAAGAAATCATAAATGTGTTGATAATATGAGACTTAAAATGAGTGTGTACATTTTTGTAAGATGAATAGTTAGATGTTCTTGCATTGTGTTTTTCTAATGAGTACCTTTGGGTATTGGTCAAATTCGTCATGTCTTAATTGTTAGTATCATGAGGATGGAGTTACTCTTCCTATTTATATTTTCCTTTTTTCATGAATTTACAGTTCAGCAGTCTAAGCTTAGAAGGAAAATAAACATGAATTAATTTTGCCAAGTGATTCTAAAACTCATTTTAATTAGTCCCTTACAATCTACAGTTAACCTTGATTGCATTTCATATTTTAGTCTTTCTCGCTTTGTATAAGGAGAAAAACTCCCTATTAACAATGTTAGTACAGTGGAAGAATAAAATGATACATCTTTCTACATTAGCAGTGCAGTTCGTTTTTCCAAGATCCTCTGATCAAAAAGTCTTGATATGTCAATTTTGCTAAATTTTGCCATCTACCTTAGGTATAACTGATTACATTTCTTGATCTAAGGATTAAGAAGTCAATGAAAAAGTTATCTGAGCTGAAAGAAACTCAGTCTTAGAAAATGTTAATCTGTGAATTTCATTACGTCTGATTCTGCTTACTGTATCTGACTATTAATACTTAATTCTTGATGCATAACAGATTCTGAAATTTAAACAAAAAAATGTCTCTGCTTGTATAAATGCATAGATCTTAGAGCTCCTGTAGGCAGAAAATAGCTTCACAGGGATAAATTGATTCTCAAGCAGGGAAATATATTTTCCCACTTATGTCCTACCTTGTTTAAAATCTTACCAAGCTTTGCATTTGCAAATTCCACTCTTGGAGAACAATAGTCCTACTCCCTTGGAAACTGATAGAAATTTTTGTCTTAGTTTTAAAAAAAGCCCATAGTAATAGATCAGTTTGTATGCTATTTCTGAAGACTTCTGTTCTTTATATATATATAAGTCTAAAGGTAAGAAATTCCAGTCTAAGACCCAGAGTCTTCTTCAAAACTTGATGACTCTGCAAGAGGTCCTGGGCCAATACCACATGGTACAAGACAGCTATCCAGTGTGAGCCGTGGCAGGAGAATTGTTTTCAGACTCCATCAGTGATCAGATCTCCCCCCGGTGTCACACAAAAACACTGTACACAGATGGTGCAGACAGTGATGTTGGGTTCACATGTCAAAAGTCTTTGCAGCTGAAAGGCACCAAGGTTCTCACATATGATTGGCACATGAGCTCTATGGGGAAAACCTCTGCTCCTCCAAATGGGATTACAATAGAACTGCTGCTTTCCCAACATGTATTCTATACTTGGGCAAAGTTCATGGTTTGTTACTTTGTAGTTTGCATCTTTTCTTTCACTATTGTCCAGCATTTCCACCTTCACTCTCTTTTTCATTCTCAGGAGAATCCAGTTTGCTTATCAAGTTCTCTTTCTCTCTCTTTCTCTCTTTTTCCCCCATGTTTTTCCCTTTCATCCAGATGGAGTACCATTTGCTTGGTGGGTTGGCCGTGCCAATGAAAAGCATCTTTACTGGGGAGGATCTCTTCCGGGCATTCAACAATGTGCATGTGGACTGGAAGAAAGTTGTCTGGATATGAGATATTTTTGCAACTGTGACGCAGATAGAGAAGAATGGTAATAATTTTAACATGTAAATGGCAGTGTCTTTGTGATGAACTGGAGGGAGGAAGTAGGAAAGGAAGGCTTAAATCCTTTCCTGATTCACAGTTCAGGAAGATTGAATGGCTTGAGTATAATCAGATAAGAATGAAAGTCAAACTAGAATTTGGACTTCTGATTTCATTTTAAATTTCTTTTTTGAACCAAAACCAAGACATCTGGCTGAGGCACATTGCTGGGATGGGTGGTCTTCAAAAGAATATTTCCTGTTGAATGCTGAATCCAGTAATTTTATTTGTTTAAAAACTTGTTTTTAATTGGAGCATTCCATGAATAAAGATTCTGGGAGCTTGGTTCATGGGCAGACATCAGAGGAGAAAATTCAGGCATTGACAGCAAACGTCAGGTACAGCTAAACAGGAAATATATACTATTAAAAAGAATAGTATTTTTCTTATGGAACATTATATCTGTATGTGCCTTAACATTCTTTTACATTGGATCTCAAGCTTTTTAAAGTCAATAGGAAGACTTGCTTTGGCTTCTGTAGGCTATGGTTCAGTTTCCATAGGAAGTTTTAGTTACAATACAAATATTGAAACCCTTTCCTGGGTTTTGACTTTTGGTGTGCTCTGATGCTACATGAATCTGGGAAAGCCACCTCACAATCTTCTCTCATTCTCTGCACCTTCAGAGAACTCCAATCACCAAGAGATAGTTGGTGAATTTTCTAATTAATTCCTAATTGTGTTTGAGGGGACTGAAATGCCAGATGACTGTTGCTGGAAACACTCATGTGAAAACTCTCAGTCACTCTCAGTCACTCTCACTTCTGGACCACTCACAGATAGGAGCTGCTGCCCTTTCTCTGCAAAAGAAAGATATTTTAACCTTGAGTATTTTGAAAATTATGGAAGTAGACAAGAAATGTCTTGGTGTCATAGGCTACTGTGTTTGAAATAGTGTCCAAATTATCCCCTTGAAACCTTCGCTTAAAATGAGTAGAAAGGAACTGTAGAGGGTCTTAATATAAAAAAAATATATAATATATATACATATATAAAATATAAAAAAAATAAAATCAGAAATTACTTGCCACTGTAAGTGTTGGGCATTTTTGGTTGCTTGATTTCCAGACAGTGTGATTATTTGCTTGGACCCTTTATTTCCCCGGGGTCCCTATTCACTTTCAAAAATTATAACTGTAAGGGGATTACTTCAGGAAGATGTTTATGTAAATGCTGGCTTATGAATGTGATTTGTATAGAATAGGCTGACTGTGCATGTTAATCTATCTTTTCTTTAATGTTTGTTTATCAGATACACTTTTGACAAGGTTTACACATGAGCATTAGAAGCATCTGTTTTTACTAGTGTTTGGCTCTTTTCATAATCCACATTCAATTTTTCAGTGAGCTACTTCTCAAGCAGAGCAGAGTGTTATGCTGGCAGACATTGGAGTTGCAGTCTGTGACTGCAGGACTGCACCACTAGGTCATAAAAACCAATGCAAGGTGAAAGCTAAATGTAATTTTATAATGTTTCAGCTGAGTCTCCTCAGGAAATGAGACCTAAGCAAGTTATGCTATGGGTGTTTATCTCCATTTTAACTCCACACCCAATGATTTTGAATAAAAAGGCACGTTTCAAACATTTTGAAGAGAGAAAGAGAAATCTCAAAAGAATTACAAATTACACATTCTATGAAAATTTATGCCAAGCTGAGGGGAAAAAGCCAATTAAAATCCACAAGAAAGAAGTTAAGGAAGCATGCACTTCTATTAGATTTTGGAAAACCCTCATGGGAGGGAGATGTTGGAAATCATGCGTCATTAGCTTGGCAGCTCACAGAGCTAGTTGTTTCTCCTAATTTCCTGATAATAGCAGAATATGCTCAGAAGTCTCCTCCACTAAACTACCTACTATTTTTTGGTTTGGGGGTTCAGTTGTTTTGGTGTTTAATCCATGAGAAATTTTTACTTTGGTAGCATTCTAAATTGCAGGTTGCCTTTTTAAAAGCTGAAAAACCCCTGACCTTTATGAAGAGTTTCTAAACATAAGAAATTTCATGCCTCTTGAAGATTGCTTTTGTGTTTCCCTGCTAGAACACTGACCCCCTGATATATAACGAGCATTAAAACCTGAAACCTGTTGAGATCTGAACTGTGACATTAACCTGCTATACATTATAGTAGAAGGAGCAAGGCAGCAGTAGATGCATTTATTTGCCTCGGCATGAAATAAAATGGGTGCTGCAGAGTGGAAAACCAGAAAATCATTTTTGCTCTTTTTGATAAATCATGCTGCTCCAAGGTAGGAACTCTCCAGAATAGCTGGGATGTCCTTCTGAAGAGGAGACAGGCCCAAGATTTTACTTTGATTTGCTTTCTGTAGACTAAATCTTAGGTATAGAAGGAGCTACTAATTTCTCAGAGCAGCAAAGAAATTATAAACAATGGAAGGCAGACCTGACAAAGTCCTGAGCCAGGTGTTTGGCAGCACACAATGTGCACTTCTAGTCATGCTGACTTTTAAATGATATCTGAGCAGACACCTGAGCCAGCTGCTATTTTTGGGCTCTTGCTTGACAACAAGTTAGTCCCCCTGGCCAGATGAACAGGAATGTATAATTAAGCAAGCTCTATGGGGAAGGCTTTTGTATTTTTCACCTTTGTTCCTATTAAAGCATTATACTGATAAGTGTCTTCTTCCATCCAGCCTCTCATCATACTTCCAAGCTCTGCAGTATGATTACAGCTAATTCAGTCACTGCAGGATAGTGGAGCCTCTTCATGGTATTTACTGGAGAATGGGAGAAGATCTCTGATGAGGAAGCAGAGGCATAAGTTACTAACTTAAGTTTTTGACCCAAGCAAGGGATCTGGAAAGGTGTCAGACACACCTTGACTATGGTCTTTGCATGCTTCAAATAAAAAGAGAGATTCCTGACTGTTGAAAAAACTTGCTAGTTGCTGGGAACATTCATAAAAATCCAGTGGCTTCAAGCTGAAGCCAAATATAGTTCATAAAATGTTTTATTTTTCTTTTTTTTCTCTTCCCCTAAACTGAGAATAATTTACTCTTGGGACAACTTATGTATAGATGAGGCAGATTTGCAATTGTATTTCAAAACATACGCCCTGTTTCAAACAGAGGATGCATTCTTGATTCAGGCATTATTGGCGAAATGTGTTAAACTGACCTAAAGCATAAAGCATTGCTGAAATACAGACAGGGTAGTGTTATAATGAGATTGTTTGGATTCCTAAATACCTCTCCCAGGTTTTTTTCCATCTCAAGCAAAATTCTCTTGCCTTGGCAATTAAAGTCTCGCTGCTCACCAAAACCTTTCATTTAAATGGGAGGAAACTCTTCCATGCCATGGTGATGCATGACTGTCCTGAAGCCCATTTCTACTTTGGTCTCTCTGGAATCCAATTTCCACTTCAAATGAAAACACTTGAGTGAAGCCAGTCATCACCTGGAAACCTTGTGAATTTGGAGAACTTTATGGCTTTTTATTTTGCATAGAAAGACAGGCATCTCTGGAACCCTATTTGTACAAGAAGCTCAGGCATCTCAGCAAAGTGTGGTGGACAGTGTTAATTCCAATGAGTAGTTGATTGACCATCTTTTATTTCTATTCTCCAGTCTTCCTGTTCAAACTGTAGGAGTATCCTCTTCTTTTGTCTTCCAGAACAGTCTCCTTCACTGGGGAACTAAGACTTTGCCATTTCCAAAGAAACATACATTCACCTGTTTATCGTGGCTTTGGGGCACTCCACAGAGTAAGGAAACCACAGGACATGAAAAGGAAGGGAACAAAAGGAAGGTGGATACTGCTATTGTCAGACCCACTTTGTCTTGCAGAGATATACTGAGTATATCCAGCCTTGTTTGAGGAGGAGCAAAGCCACATGGAAGTGAACTAAGCCTTGCTTGGATGAGCTATATTTGTACAAAGCTGTGCCAGAGTAAGGATGTTACTGGAAGGGCTGAGGAGAGCAGGGCAGAGAAACCCTGACAAGCCCAGATTTGACAGGTTTTGTTTGCTCAGCCACTATCCCACACTGCATTCATTCCCCCAGAAGCAGTGCAGGCAACTCCACAGAGCCTGTAAGCTCATAAATAAACCCTGCCAGAGGTGACCTGGCCTGTATGGAGCTGTCTTGGATATCTGCTGTCATGACTGCATTTGTCAGCAAATGAGAAGAGCTGCCTGCAGAGAGCTGACTGTAGCAGGACCCTGAAGTGTCAGGAACCAGTTCTATTACTATCACTATCAAACTCTGTATCTCTTCTCTAATTCAGCCAAATATAAGCAATGCATCTTGCCTTCAACTGTTACAACTGTTATACAGATCATGGGTACCACAGCAATTAAAATTTATTCCTTTGGATCATTAATGGTGTGTCCTGCACAGGCCCCCAAACTTTTTCTGATGGAAGCCTTTCACAGGCCCATTCCTTGTGCACTTTATTGCCATCTGCTGATTCCATTCCCCAAATGTGTGGCAGTCATGAAAATCTGTACTGAATATCTGAGCTACTGAGGCTCTGTTCCCACCAGAGTTTTCATTAATGTACAAGAGGAAAACATACCAGTGGGGGTTAATATGAGGATAAATTTATATTTAATGGCACCACTGTTTCTACCATCTGTTAGAAAAAATATGGAAATGGCTACCTAGAGATTAGCAATTTATGATGGCTCACACTGTTAGGACACCATAGAGTGAGAGTTTGTTGAGCATGCTTTTATTGGTAGCCAGGAAGAAGAAAAATAGTTTCATAATGTTATGTTCAAAATAGTTATTTGTCATTTACAGGTAAGTCTACATCCCAAAGTATCCAGTTACTGCATTATCACCTTTAACACTGCTGCACTTGCAGAAATTTTTTTTTTCCTTTTTTAAATCAGCCCATAAATAGAACATTTGTTTGATATGTACCATACCTCATAGCTTATTGAGGAAGTCTTTTGGGTAGATGCAGACGTTAATCTTCAGAAACGGATAAACAGATGAAATCCAACTTTATTTAATACCCATAAATAAAAATTTTTCAGTGATTTAATTTAAAGGGCATCATTGGATTTGTTTTGTTTGGGATTTTCTTGTGGAAAGTACAAATTGATGCTATCCTTTATGTTAAGAGCTCAGAGAAATATCTGTTCATTGAGGGTTCTTTCCACCCTCAAAAACCTTCAGATTTTCATCTGAATTTGTGCCAAATTAAGTGCCAAGTCAGATAAGCAGAAGATCTACTTTCCAAGTTTATTAATTTCTTTGTACCATTTTCTGTGCGTACAACATTCCTTTTAGGAAAATGAATAAACCTGCCTTGATTTTTGTGAAATTGGGACTTAATTTACTTTCCTGGCCGAGGAACATCACCCCTCAAGAACATCGTGCAGGCAGGACCCTCCTGTAGTTTTCAGTACTGAGAAGCAGGACACGGTGTGGTCCAAAGGGCATGTTTGGTGGAAGTGGTCACAAAGTGCTATGTGAAACCCACTAACAGAAATATAGTGGTGGGTTTGGCTAACCAGAGAAGCAGCTGTGGAAAAAAACAGTGGTTTTAAGTGTATGTTAACTTCTAAATTAAAATACATATAAGTAAAAAGGAACTCTGGGAACAAAGACAAAAATAATCAATCTAACAAGGTTTTATTTTTGTTCAAAAGACAAAATGATGTATGTGCACATCATAGTGCAGATGGTTTCTATCAGAAAATAGCAATTTTATTTGAAAACTGTAGTACACTAAAAGTGATCCCCAAGCCCACTTCAGGCAAAAATTCCAAATGTTTTGTCCAAACCCTGGTATATTTATATTTTGTAGTGCCACAGCAGTGCCTCCAGGAAGTTATTGTACAGGTACATGAAGCCCTTTTGCTCCTCTTTCAGGAATAATGCATTACATTTGAGAGGCTGCCATAGTGTACCACACAGAGAACAAGAATTATGGTGCTTTATAAGTAGAGTCTAAAATAAGTTCAACTTTAAAAATACCAGGAATTTGAAACATTCACAGTGTCTTCAATTTTCTTGTCTGCTTTTCTTAATTGCAACATCCTAGGTGTTGACTTTTCACTAAAAAACTTAATTTTCTACCATGAAATAGTAATAATTAATGGCAACAATACTTATGTTGTTCCTGTAGCTAGTACATTCTCTGAAGGACAGAATATTTTTCTGATAGGTTTTATTTCAGTGTCTGCTTGTATGAAAATATATATTATTATATGAGGGGTTTTTTTCCATGTATGAAAGAATAAAACGCATAAAATGTGCTGTTTGAGCTTGAAGAGAAGCTTGATCGAGTTTTCCAGGCGTTAACAAAGAAGGGAAGATTCTTATAAGTTCTAGAATATTTTTCTCTCTCACTGTTGAGCTATGCTACTAAAGTTTGCTGTGACACTGGCATATAACTAATAAAAACTCAACCATAAAATTTGATATAAAAGAACTTCATGCAATATAACAGAATATCTAATAAGCAATTCAGTTTTCAGAGACATGGAATAGATATCTTTAAAATGTCACCACTTCATGGTTTCCTGTAGATATTTTCAGTCCTAGCTGTAGGAAGATACTGATATTTATTTTAGTTCTGATCATAGCTAGTAAAAAGACTGCACTGTGTTTTGAATTAAAGTAAATTTGTAGGAGGTCTCCCTAGATATTTTGTGATTTTTGAAAAATTTAAACGTAAATGCCAGCTTAGTTATGTTCTTTCCTAAGAAATACTCAAATAGTTCAGCTTTTGTTACATCTATTTCATAATTTGTTGGGAACATTTACACTAACTTTCAAATATTGATAGAATAAGCTATAGGAGTGTACTACTGACAGTCTGCCATGAAGAGATTTGGAGACCATGTATGCTTGATTCCTATATGGTAGTTTTCCTTCTGAGTCTGGATTGAAGACATCATTCTTCCTGGTGCCTGGGAATTTCATCTTTCTGCACTTTGCCTGTAGTTATTTGCATGTCAAACACCCACTGAAGTAAGAAGAAAATGTTAGGGTCAGAGAGAGTACCTCTCCTTTTCCCCTAGGCATTATGAGACAATTAGCTGTGCTGCACGCAATTAAAAACAATGAATAACAAATGCAATGTATACAGCCTTTATAAAAAAAGATCAAAATGCTCCTATATTTTTCTAACATTAATCAGAGAAGAGCACTTAGCCAAGCAAACATTCAAGGCTGTGTGACAGAGCACAGCTGCAGTGCTCATCCTGATTATTATTTCTTTGCTGGAATCTGTGTCCCTTCCCATAGCTGGAACTATATGGAGCTGTATGTTTGTGGAAGTTGACATTAAAAGCAGGATATAGGTAGGTCTGGGATCTTGCCTGGAATGTCAGACTCTCTAGCAGTGGTATCACTCAAAAAGTTAAACCTATTTCCTGAGGCATTGTGTCACACCTTCCTGGAGGAGCAGTGGGTGTACATTTGGATTACTGGCACTTTGCATATGGTCATTGTTACCATCCCCATGTACAGCATGAAGCCTTTCACCTCTGAGCAGACAGTGATCTGGGCTGTGCAGTGTCGAGGTCGAGGCGGGATGCAACACAGTTTCAAGATACCAGCTTTTTTTATTGCAACAGTACAGCTACTTTGTACAGTTCTGGGTGACACATGTACACACAGCATCGGTTTACCACTTCATAACAACTCATGATTGGACATACAGCCACATGTCTTAACACAATAGGCTAACACTCCTAACAGGAAACCTACTCTGTGTTACAGTCCTACTGTCCGTGGTTAACCCTCTGCCAGGTGTAAGAAGTTCCATCTTCGGTATCTCAGTTTACAGAGAGCCCAGAACCAGCTGGGCTTCCCCACAGTGCAGAGTTAGAGATCTGTCCTGACATTTGGTTCTTGTGAAGGATGCTGTGCCATTCCTATGTGCCCAGATGTACAGGATACCTTAACCCTGAGAAAAAGAGCTAGGAGAAGAAAAAAAAATAACACCATGGAGATGACACTCGGTAGCACTCACCTCTCTATTATCAATCAATGGAGAAATACCTCAAAAGGGCAGTTCTGCTCTGGTGAGGTCAGGGTTGTGTGCCTGAAGGACTCAGCTGAGTTCATGAAGCACAGTGGGATGAATGCACATCTGTATATCCTGCCAGAGTCAAAGCCACTGGATCAGCTTAAGGACCTGAGGGCTACCATGAAACACCACACTGCATTTTGGGGACAACAATTTGTCCAGCACACTCAGGTTAAAAACAAATCTTTTAGGAATCCTTCTTTCTTTTCTCATCCTTTGTAGCAGCCGTGGCTAAGTTAGTCGCAGCTGAAGAATAAGTCCAGCTAAGCAAACGAGAGAAGTTTGACATTGCAGTAAATCAGCCTTCAGTATTTCAGTTGCTGAAGGAAAATTTCCACTGGCAAAGGACTGATTCAGTCAAAACTCCCTCTGCCAAGTCAGCCGTTTTTACAGTGTGCAGAGTCAGTCGACTCCCAGCCATCTTGAAGTTGGATCAGTAACTGTCTGGCTGCCCTGTGCTAACTTTGCTGGATCAGGCATCGCCTGTCTTCTCCCTGCTTGGGTTAAGCACAAAGCCAGCATAAGTGCTGTTATCTGTCTCCAGCTAACTTTACAGAAATGCAAACTTGGACTTTTATGCTTTATGCACATCAAATTCATCCTCCTGAGGAAACCTGGTAGAGCCCAGTTTATACAAATGCCCATTGATCAGCATGGCAGCATTCTGCTGGGCTTCACAGTCATCCTACACAGCTGAAGCACATCTACAGCCCATCCCAGGCAGTATAATGTATCCAAATGGTGGTCATTACTGCATATGAGCATGGAGCATATAAGTGAATGTATGTGTCTTAAACAGTGTGTACTGGTCGTCATTCTCCCAGGTAATTCTGCAAAAGGTCTTTCATATTTCAATAAGCATCTATTTAAATATTGCCTTGCATAAGGCATGCTGAGAGGTTTGTCTGTGGTTAATCTGTCTCTTTCTGTTTGTGTATTATAATCCAGGACAAATGATACCGGCCTCCTTGCTTTCAAAGACCATTTGCCTGTAACTCAGATAGTGATCACTGACACAAACAGATCAAATTCTGAGGCTGCTTGGAAAATCGGCCCTTTGCGTTGCTATGGAGACAGTGAGTACTAGTCTTCTCAATTTCCATAGGTACAGAATGTTCTCTCTTTTTTTGTTATTTTTTTTTTATGGGTTGGTTTGTTTTTCGGTTTTGGTTTGCTTTTGTTGTTGCTGTTGTTGTTGTTGTTTTTTGTTGTTGTTGTTGTCTTTTTTTTTTTTAAACTAATTTTTCCTGATAAAAAGTGGCTTTCCACATGCAGTTTGCAGCTGCTGTCCTATGCCAATTAACTATAGAGAAGGGGGTTGTGTTTGCAGGGCAGTTCTGGAATGCTGCTTCCTTCAACACAGAGGCCTCCTATCTGCACTTCCCCACATTCCATGCTGAATTCAGTGCAGACATCTCCTTCTTCTTCAAAACTACCGCTGTCTCTGGGGTATTCTTGGAAAACCTTGGGATTAAAGACTTCATACGAATTGAAATAAGCTGTAAGTTTCACTGTTAAGAAATCTTATGTATTTGCCCAATTTGACAAGTGCAAAGACATATTTTCTGCTGTCTTGAGATGCCTGAAGAGGATAAGATGGAGACATAAAGACTCATTAATCTAGACCTGTCTACCTCTCCTGTCCAGAGTTTCCCTGTATAGCTTTGGTCATTTTACTTAACCTTGTTATGGCTAGGTTTATCTTTCTTAAACAAACAAGTGTATGAATATAGTTTTTCAACATTTATATTTATTTTTTTGCTCTTTAGAGAAAAAAACCTACCTGTTAGATGTACCTGCAGGCTGTAATTTTAGTTGAAAGTTGAAAAATTTAATGCAACCATTCTGATGATTACTTTTATTCCTGTATCAGTAACAAACATACCTAGTCTGATGCAGCCCTAGAATTTCAGAGGAACTGAGTGTGTATGGTACAGCTACAAGGTGAGAGTTTATGAAGGACAGGACACTAATGCAAGATAAGTCAGTAGCAGTTGTAATGTGTCTTGAATACTTGAAAATATAGCGAGTGCAATGTAACTGCCACTCAGCATATAAAGGAGAATAGAAGGAAATTTAATTAGTGAGATTTTGCCTCACTCCTGTTCTGACAACTTCAAATATTTATTAGTGATAAAAGAGTACTGTGGCTTTGACATGAAATATGACTTCTGTATTCCAAATTCTGTCAAGCTTAGGGAAAACAAACTGAGTGCTGTGCATTTGATAATATGCTTATAATAACCCCAACATAAAAATTAATAAAACAGGGCCCCAAGGCCCTTCGATTCATTAAACCAATGGTAAATGTCATGGTGCATTATCACAAGGTAATGAGGTATGATTTACTGTTAATTGCGCATCAAAGTCCAATTTGGTTGTACTTCAGTGTACTGTGGTTCATTCTCAGGGATATAGAAGTAAAAATGGCATCAAATGTAACAAATACTGTAAACTAAGAGTGAAAGCTTCTGGATGTGTGTTAAATCTGTAATCCTAGAGAAATAAGTTATTTAAAAGTTTGGGAGAAATCTTTTAAACTTCAGCTTCTCCTCTGTAGTTTAGTGTTGTGCTTCCTTGTGCCAGGTAGAATTTGCAGACTAAAGGCCTTGTATCAAGGAAGATCTACGGACCAGCTGCTTCGAAGGGAAACAGCTCTTTAGCAGATGCAGAGGCTCAGAATAGATCTTTGTCTATCCCTATGGAGCGTTTCCTATCTTAACTATCTAAGAAGCAGTTTCCAAAACTAGACCTATCCAATTTTTGAGGCTGGAAATAACAGGTTTTTTATGAACTTTCAGTCTGCAACCTTCTGGTTTTGTGATCTGTGGACCTAAGTTCTTGGTCTTCCTGGTGCATTTAGCGTTTTAGGAAGAGGAAAAATAATCAGGAGCAAGAATTTTAAAAAGTTCTAGCCTCTTTCAGGCTTCCAGCAGAGCGAGGTGGACTCCATTATGTGGCTTTTTTTTTAACTACTGTTCTGTTTTTAGGGGCCTTATTATCTCTGGAAATGTGTTACATATACAAATTTGGTTTAAGATCACAAATGAACTAGGTTTGCTCCTCTATTTTTTCTTGCTTCTTGAGTCAGACTTAGGCAAACAAATTCTTGTCGGATTCTCTCCTACCATATGTGGCCAAGTTATGTAATTGTTAAGTACCCACAGTTTGAAAGATTTAGTCAGAAACTGCTCCTTCATCCTTTCTCCTATCTTAGCACTTTTTATCCAAAATCTTTTGGTACCATTGTGTGACTTTTGTGCAGCATTTGTAACTTTTACTTCAGGAAGAGAACTGCCATTTCTAGAGCACAGTAATCGTTATGGCAAGAGCCAAGCGTAATCACAGCAGAGATCAAATAGTGAGGCTGCAGGCTTAAATTTATGTATAAGCTGCTGTGTAGGAGATGGGAGGTAAATGATCCTGTACTATTTGCTGACATAAAAGTTAATGAACCCTGTATTTATGTAAGATTTCTTGATGTCAAAACCACAATTTAGTTCAGACCTTCACTTCTTCTTCACATCTGTTTATCTATTCCAGCCCCCAAAGAGATCACCTTCTCCATAGATGTCGGGAATGGCCCCACAGAAGCCACTGTGCAGTCTCCCAGCCCCCTGAATGACAACCAGTGGCACTACGTCCGAGCAGAGAGGAACCTCAAGCAAACCTCTCTCCAGGTGGACAGCCTTCCCAAGAAGGTCCTGGAGGCACCTGCTGAGGGGCACTTTCGCTTGCAGCTCAACAGCCAGTTATTTGTAGGTAGGCACCATATAAGGGTTTCTGTAGATATCTGCAGTATTTCTATGTCCATACCTTGTTCATGAATGCTATTTTCTCACCTTTGAGCTTGCATGTGGTGACTTAATTTTGCTTTCTCTACTTCTGTTCCTTCACAGGCAACAAAAAGTAAGCCCAAACATCTGCCTTTACACTCAAAGCACTAACCATAGTTTAAACATACTATGCTTGATGGTATTTTTAGGTTCAAATACTTGAAAGGTATTTATTGCCAAAGAACTGATAGTCTTTCTTCTTGTGCAGTACAGACTGTGTCATTTGCTGTAGAAAATGTGATCTCTCTCTTTAGATGCAATGTAAAAGTCACAAATTTGTCATAAAAATTTCTGAGGCAAAGCCTGATTGAAATTATGGTCTTTAAAATCTGGTCCTTCAAATGTGCCTACCAAAACCCTTATTTGGCTACTGAGTCCATGACTGAGAGAACTGTGAACAGTTGTTTACCTAAAAGTGGTCTTTCTATGGAGAAAAAAAAAATTAAAAGAGAAAAAAATTATCTGCATATATTTTGTTTCCCTATCACCTGTGCAAAAGAAATCTGGATTGGGACTAGCTTTTGTTTGATAATATGATCATGCATTACAAGGGGAATCCTCTCTTTTTCATATTCAAACACTGTCTTTCTGAGTAATCTGCTCAGTGATGGAGAGGGCTGTATCTCACTTCTTATGCAGGGCCATTCAGGTAACTACTGATTCCTTCCTTAATATGGAATCTCTTTCTTAGCTGAAATGCTGTAGCAAACCTCAATCTGTCAATTCATTTTAATATAGTTTACTTCTGTATTCACACACTTTGATTTAAGTAGATTTTAGGGTATTTATTTGAGCTTTTTATTGTGTATGTGTGCAGTAATTACTGGGCTCTGAGCGCAAAGAAGTAATCTGTAATAAATAGATACAGCTGCATCAATGTCAGGAGTTCTTCCCACATAGCTGTTGATTTATACCTAAAATGATCTCTGCTAGACTCAGCTGGAGAGGAGCTCACTGAAGAACTCACAGAAGGGAGGCTTAAGGCTGTCACAATGCAGGGTTTCTGTTTTCTGGTATGAAGCATGCTGCTAATCACTTGTTTTTTAAATGCTACTTTAATCCTTAGAGCACGTTCTGTGGGAGGCCAGGCCTGAATTCAGTAGGGTTGGGCTGCTAGACACCTTAGAAACACCAGAGAAATCTGGCCAAGTTACTGTTTCCAGTTAGAAAAACTAGAGATTTAGTGACTGGATAGACTTTTGCAATATTTTGATTGTATCTTACTAAAAGACTAAATAGGAAGAGTTTATCAGTCATCTCTTAGATATGTCATATATACCAGCTGCCTACCATTTCACATCTGAAAAGCAGTATCTGCCTGTAAGCTTCCTTCTCAGCCTCAGCAAAATAAACAGGTTACCTGAACCAACTTTATGGTGGTTTTAAAGTGATATAATTGATGAATTGCATCATGGAAATCCATGGGAATTAAGGACCTCACAGGAGAACGTGCCAACAGAAACCCTTGTCAGCAAAGACAAATGCAAAGCCCTGCACCTGTGGCAGAATAACATCAGGCATCCATACAAGCTGGGAGTTGAGTGGATGGGTAGCAGCTGTGCAGAAAAGGTCCCATTGGTTTTGGTGAAGTGAATCTGTACCTCATCTGAATGTAGCTGTACTTTAAGGAACATGTTGGACCAGTTGATTTCAGCTGTGAATTCCAACTGATTTTACTCTAATATTTACAGAAAACTCTAGGATATAGATATTTGTCTTAGCCAAGAGGTGAAAAGTCCTCACTGTGAAAAAAATAGGTTGCATTCAGTTGTTCATCCACACTTTTACTGAACCATGAACAAAAGGGACAGAAAAACAAATGTTTTTGGGAGTGCTTTTTCAGCCCTTAACTCTGCCATATGGAATGCCAAAATTCTCTGTCACTTTCTGAGTTTTCCTAAGAGCTGTCAAAATTAGCTGGGAACCTGGGCAGCCTCCTGATTCTGACACTGTCCCTGGATGCTCCAGGGAAAAGTGGCAGAAGTCCAACAATACACAGATGTGACATAGTTTGTTTCTACTGAAGATCTCATTCCAGTCTCTAATAAAAAGCTACTGATTTAATATCTCAACCATGCAGAGTGAATTTTATCCCATCTGAAAAATAAATACATAATCAACAATGTAAATTGGAAAGAAGCAACAGCACATAATATTACTCCCTACTCCCCCTATAATCCACAACATGTTTGTCTCTGCAGTTATTCTGCCTACTGACAATGATTAAGGGTGTTTCCAGTCTTAATGTCTCTGTGTGGCAGGCTTCTGAGGTAGCTTTTTGTGTGTGGGAAGTGGAAGGGAGAAATGACTTTGCATTGCCAGTACACTCAAAAAAGCTTGGATTTTAATGAAGCCTAAAGGAGTTAGAAAACCATTTCTCAATTTCTTTTAGTGGGTATTGGATATCTAAGTGCTTTAGGCTGAATTATAATCCTCAGTCAAAACATGAATATCCTTACACCTGGCTATGTTTCTTCTCTTAATTAAAAAAAAAAAAAATGTTGAAAAGACCAACCCCCAAACAAATGTTCAGGTTACGTAATACCAAACTGCCCAGTAACAAGACAATTTGGCACATTACTTGCTCAGAAGGGGCAGGCAAAAATCATTCCTCTCGATGGACAGTAATTTTCAGCACTCAAAGTGTGGGACATCATCTTGTACAGTGCAGCTGTGCCTGGCATATCCCTGTGGTCCTGAAGGAGATGGGTCATTGTCTCCTTTCATGGTGTAGTCTGAGATGAAGTTCTGTCTTACCTAGTGCCAAAGGCATGACCATAAGACTCCATCACAGGGAGGGGAAAGGCAATCCTCTCAGGCCTCTTTGAGAACAGGGTTTGAACTCAGACTAGTAATATCAGAGAAGCAAAATGCAAATCCTGAGAAATTATTTTGATGAATAAAGCTTTGATCAGAAGTTTTTGTGCTATTCATTTGGTATGTTATGGACACTGGCAAAGTTAAGTACTTGGGTTCCTGGTTTTGTCTTGGGAGCAAGGAATGAATCCTTGAATGAACCTCCTCTGTCCTTTGTAGGCAGTTGTACCCCAGGGAGAGCAAACCCCAACAACATCTCAACATCTGAGACAGAAGGAAGGACAGGAAAAGGAGGGGTATGCTTTGTTTACTGTTATTGGTTTTAAAGGCATCTGTAGGCTCCTTGGAGGCCAGGAGGAGGAATTAATGCTGCCTAACTCTTTCTGTATCCTGTCTGCTTTGTACATCTTTCAGTTTGAGACTAACACTTGTGACTTGAAGGTCTCCTGAGGAATATCACAGCAAGTTCTCCTACTCCTGATTATGATTCTTCTCTGCCCTTTACTTTTCTATGTATCAGTTACGTAAAGCAAGGATGCTCCTAATACTTATTCACTCTGCTTCAGCATCCCCAATCCAGTTTTTACCAGCAAAAAATCAACTCATTGCTGAAATGTTAATTATTTAGCCAATTGTGTCACCAAGCTATGCTATGAGTGCCCAGTTGTGAGCTTCTTGCCCCCTCTTCTCAGATTCTCTCTCCTTTGCCCAAAGGCTCCTCAGTAAAATTCAGCTGCATAAACACCTTGCTGAAAACAGCATCGCTCATTTGACTGTCACCTCCACTCAGCACAGCACACCCTTTACCTCAGTGTTTATGGGCCATAGGTTTATCCTAAAATCTGTTTTCCTGAATAAAACATTTAGATCTCATCCACTGAATTGTCCAGCCCATCGGGCATATTTGAGTAGGAAGAATCTGCAAAGCTTGATTTGGGGAGGAGTTCTGGTTTTTTGTTTTCCATTTTTCTCAGCTTTGCAGAAATGTTTATGAAGATTAGGTCTATTCAATGGAAGAAAACTGCCCAAAATAACAAACAGATTTGCTTAAGCAATACTGTGTGGATCTAGGATCATATAATCGGTCTGTGTTAAGCTCTATACTCTCCAGACATTAGAAGAGGAGTGAGAAACTTTACATGGCCTTCCAAATGCTTTAGAGAGCAATAAGAACGTGGGTAGTGTAATAAACATGACATCTGTGGAACAGTTAGCAATAGTTTTTACTCATTCTTTATATGATACAGCTGGGATTTGTATGTGTGCAGAGAAGAGGCAAGGAAACTGTCATTTATCCTTGTAATATTTGTGGTTTCCTCCCGTGCAAAGGAAAATAAAGTAACCAGTAGCCTTAAAAGGAGAAATCACATTTCTCCTTATGTGGACATGACTGAAAATTGTGTATGGTATGTTTTGTTTTGGAAAAAAGTCTTCTAGCAAAAGGGTTATGGCTGCACAGTGCAGTAAATGCAGAAGGCCTGATTCTTGTCCTCAGAGGGTCTTCAGTATAAGTGAGCTAACATTTGCTCTCCTATAAAGAATTACTAAGAATGGCAAAAGAGAAATTTGGAGTTATTTATTTATCTGAAGAGGCATCATAAAATTAGCATGAAATAAATGTGTCTCATGCATAGTTTATAGTTCAATTACTCTAATTTGAATCCAGTGTTTCTGCTATTAGTGTTCCAGAAAGAAAAGTATGCTAGAATGGTGTTGCAGAAAACTAGAGTTCAGATGAGTTTGCTTTTCAGACTGTTACTACATTCTCTTACTTTGTAGAAGTCTTAATTTATTAATTTCAGAAAAAAAAAAAATGCTCTTCTGCAAGGGCTTATCAAATGATGTAATCTCTTATCTCATACACTTTGATATAGAACCAACTTCTACAGAAGAATAATAACTTCTTTCATACTACTTTTGCAGGAGAATCACCAATAAAGCTAGCATTTCAGAGTCTGCAAATGCTGATAACTCCTGAACCACAATTAGATTTTCCTAGCAGCAATCAAAATTGCAGTATCTTTAAAAGCAAAAACACTGGCACCTACCAAACAAAGCCTATGATAAGAAAAATGGTTATATTTTCATAGAGTAACAATTATAATTATTATCATTCTCAGAGACCTCCTCATATGGAAAAAGCACCTTCATTGTAACACTGCTAGCAATTTCACTGGGCAGATGCAAAGCTAGGTAGCTTGTAGAGACTGAACTGCCTTCTTGCGTAGTTCCATACAGGTCTGGCCTTCAGGAAGAAATGCAGTTTTGTTTAACAGTTGTAATAAATAACACATCTGTGACCTGAACTCGTGTTTCTTGCTACAACAACCATTTACATGGACCATGTCAGGCTGGGCAGTCATTCATAAATTCTGATTCAAGTCATTTCCCTTCAGCCAGCAGGCCTGGTGCTGAACATGGTTCATCCCTGCTATCAGGACTCATCAGCATATGTAACTCACCTGCTGTTGGGATTGGGATGTTATTTATGCACTGTATTACGGCAACAAATAGGAAAAAAAACAACCAAACAAAACTCCCAATATTTTTGGTTTGGGTTTCTCATGTATTAGGTGATATGGAGACCTACAATAAAAAAACTAAATTTTCTCCCAAATGAATTTGCAGTTTTAATGCCAGACAGGGAAGCAGATAAGCCAAAAAAGAGAAGAGTGGCAACAAGAAAGTATCACATACAACTTTTTAGTCCTTTCATAGGACACCTTTAGTTCCCAGGATTGTCCATCTGTCATCTTTTACTATTTTGTGTATTGGCATATAATATATAATATTATTTTTAAAAATTATAGACTCATATTTGTACCTCTGGATTGAAATTCATGGCTTTTCTTACTGTGAAGACTCATCAGTGAGTGAATTGCCTTTTTTCTCTCCTTTTCAGGGGGAACAGCTTCCAGACAGAAGGGCTTTTTGGGATGCATTCGATCTCTGCATTTAAATGGACAGAAACTTGATCTTGAAGAGAGAGCTAAAATGACACCTGGTGTTAAACCTGGATGTCCAGGGCATTGCAGCAGTTATGGTAACCTGTGCCATAATGGAGGAAAATGTGTGGAGAAGTATACTGGTTACTTCTGTGATTGTACTAACTCAGCCTATGAAGGACCTTTCTGCAAGGAAGGTAAGCAGCAAGCTTTGATCTAAGTCTTCAGTGGGCTCTGAATTACAGCACTGTTTTACCCATGTCAGCTTGGTGCCTCTCATGTTACAGTACATTCTGTTATCAGCTGTCCCTTCAGCATTACTAAGAGTTTATCTTAAGCAGGCTACAAAACCTTCTTTTTTTGACTTCACTGTTGGCCTCAGAAATCAAAATGGTGTCAGCTGTACTAGTAAAGTTTGCAACTATATCCCACTATGATTCCTTTATTCAGTTGCATATAGGACCCAGACATTAACAAATAGGGCTGAAATTTTTCATACAGGTGTTTGCCCATTTCTGAACATTTAGTTTAGCTGTTCTTAAACCTCATCCCATTTTGTCCACCTTAAACAAATCTTGAGAGCTTTTCTTTATAAAGTTTCAGAGCAATGATGTGACAAAAAGAGGTAGTCTTTCTATGTTCTTTTGCCATTTCTGTGACAACTCATCCAAACGTTAAGAAATTTTTAAAATAAGCATGAAGCGTTCAGGAGAAAACTGATTTGCATGGTTCAGTCTTTGGTGAATGTGTCCTCACTGAACCTTTCTGGTGGTTTGTAGAAGATGCTGTCAACACCAGAAAAATGAGCTGGGCAAATAAGCAACCTCTAATTTAGAGAGCATGCTTTTTGAAACTAACAAACATGCAGATGTTCCTCTTCATTTGATGCTACCAAAGATAGCTTCCATTACTGACTGTCTTTGGTGAATGTGATGTTTTAATAATGACTTTTTTTAAAAAGGAGACTGGAAAGAACAAATACATTGTCTTTACTGTGAGGGGAAGATAGAGAATATTGCCTTACAGGTCAGTTGTTGGAAGGTAGTGAAATAAGCATTTATTCGGCTGACAGATATTTTGGGCTGTTCTGTCTTGTGGAGCTCTGATTCTAGCACTAAAATAGTTGAATTTACGTCTCCATTCACTGTCCTTCCCTGTACCAGACAAACTGACTCTAAGGAAGGACACACTCCTTATCCAAATGAAGGAATACTGTTGTCAGCTTGATCAGGGGCATTTTGCAATGTTCTACTTCTGAGTTAGTCAGTTCATGTCCATTCCTGCCTGGAAAATCCGAAAATGCAGCATTTGAAATTATTCCCTTGGTTTACATATGCTTTCAGAGGTTTCTGCATTATTTGAAGCCGGCACTTCTGTTACCTATATTTTCCAAGAACCTTATCCTGTCACAAAAAACGCAAGCACCTCAAGCTCTGCCATTTATGTGGATGCTGTCATGTCCAAGGAGAATATTGCATTTAGCTTTCTCACAGCACATACCCCAAGCCTTCTACTGTACATCAACACCTATTTTCATGAATATTTGGCTGTCATTCTCTCCAAGAATGGTAAGTAGTCTTGACCTGCTACCAAAGTGAGACCACTGTAACCTTGTAAAGTTTTTTTTTGTGGCTTTGTTTTTCGTTTGTTTGGTTTTTTGGGTTTGGGATTTTTTTGTGAGAATAGTATATAATGCTGCACTGATTTAAGTTCATTTTTGTGTCTGCAGCTTCATCCACTTCATGATATTCAGTTCATGAGAATGGCCATCGCTCTTGTTTATGTCCCTTTATTTGGTGTTCAGTGCTACACTTGCCTGTTCAGTCTTTGAGTAATCATGTTGCTGGGGCTTAAAATGTACTTTGACTTCCATTTGGCAAGACTATGTAATAGCAATTCCTTTCCATTTATTCTACACTGCGATCCATTAGGCCACCAAGATAAGGGAATGAGAAATACCATGTATGTACAAGAACACCTGGTACAGAAATATATTAGAATTTTATCTTTTGCATTCTGTCTTGGCATATGTATTGCTCTTCAATGGATTTTTTTTCAGTGTAATATGGCCAATACATCTGAATATTAAAGCCAGAAAATGTCAAAGTTTTCTAGGTTTACTGACCAAAACAGGAGGTGTAAATCCATTTTCTGTTAAAAGGTACATGATGTGGGGATTTTTTGAAAACACATAAAGATTTTAGGGGCTCAGGTCTTGTGTCTTCTCAGAAAGACATTGACTCCTGAGTCCTTGCAGTGCTTTCAGAAAAATCAGTCCAGACAAACATCATCCTAGGCAAATGGGGATGTTTGAATTATTCAAGAGTTATCCGGCACTGGAGCACTGGAAGTGATGAGTAAGCTTATTGGTGAGTCAGTAGCCTGTGGCAGAACAATAGAAAGTTAATGTCATGTGGTTGAATATGTACATTTGACCGAATGACCCAGACCACTTTGAGCCTTTCAAATTCCAAAATAACTAGGCTTTCAAGTACTGTCAAATGAAACTATAAAAGGAAAAAAAAAAAAAAAACCAACAGACAACCCAAACCATTTTTTTTCTCTGTATGGATTTTGCAGTAGTTTCTCTTGGTTATGTTATGCGGCTAGCATTCAGGCTGGCAAGGGATGAGTATCTTAATCCCTGGGAGGGGCAGCTGGAATAGTAACTGCCTGAACCAGTTTACTCCAACTGAAGTTGCATTAGGGAAGTGGAACTACTGAGACAACCCAAACCCTCTCCTGTCCAGTCCCAGATTTCCATCTCTGGTTTGCTGTTGGAGGTGTTTATGATTTTCAGATTTATGAATATTATAGTGTGTAGCTCCAGGGCAGTAGAAGTTATCCCCTGCTAAGGTGAAACCTTGGAATTTGCTTCTCAGTTACACTCAGGTCTCTTGATGCCACTCAGGAAATCAGAAATAGCCCTAAAGTGAATGAAAATGAAATATCTGTGTAAATCACCTTTATTGCTGCCAGAGGAGTCAAAAATGTCCTCAGAAACATGGACCAATTGACTTTTATTGATGAAATACACTATATGCAAGCTATAACTGTGAAGTTTTGGAAGTAGGGGTTCTAGTGTTGGTTGAAGAAGGGGTTGGAATCAGGACTTAGCTTGTAGCAGTTCAGCAGAAGAAGAGATTGTTCTTTCTTTGTGTCACATGCAGATTCTGCAGATCTCTGCTTTGGCATAGATGGAGACAGGGACTCTACATCTTGAAATTAGGTGGAGCATCTCTCAGCACAGCCAGGCAATATAAACAATGGTACTTTTTTCGGATTTGTCCCTCTTTTTACTCATGTGTAATATGACAGTGACAGTTGTTTAGAGGGCTGGTGAGATGTCAGGCTCCACAATTCTGGACTATGAGACATAGCACTATATGCAAAGAATGATTAAGATAACTACCTGACTTTTGCTAAATCCTGAAAGTCTCCATCAGGATTACTCTGTGCTTGCTTCTGTGGCAGTCTTTCAAGACAGTAATTTCAATCATGTATATTCCCTACCTTTTGTCTCAAATGTAATAATTTGTTAAATTTCATATCTTTTTACGTTTTAGCCTTTGGCATTGAAATTATTTCAATGAAAATAAGGTTCATATATGTTACTCTTTCTTCTTCCAAGAGGTTTATGCTTGCCATGAAGTTATTGGACTATGAATATCAATGTCCTTTGTAGCACTAAAAGGGAGCGGGATTCCTTCTCTCTAATTGGCTCATTTTCAAGGAATCTTGCCAAGTCTGACAGTATAGTAGGACATAAGCAGGTCCCTTCTGGATAACTGATTTGTTAAATAAAGGTTAGGTTTCTTGAAGAAATGGTAATGGGTATTCTCAGTTAAGAGGTGGGCAGCAATATTCTTTACCAAGCCCCTTTCCTCTTGTTAAGAAACTGTATTGAAACAGTCTATATATACTTTAATGCTTCCCCTTTTGTACTGTTTTTCAAGCCACTACTCATGTATCCTCTTTTATCCTTAGGTTATTCCTCTTTTCTATTTCCACAAAATAACTAGGCAAATTATTAGTTAATAAAAGTGAAAATGAGAAGAATGTTTCTTGTGTTTCAGACTTCCTGTGTTAAATATTTAACATAAACGAAATTAAAATATTTGAAAGGATTATTCATAGTTAGAGTATACTAAAAGGGCTTATATGAAAGTGAGCTTGTACAGGTGGCTGTAGTCTAATACAGTCATGTGTGAAGTATTTCCTGTAAAATTAATTGGTTTCAGTAAATTTAGTAAATAGGTACATTTAACCCCAACACTCTTTGCTCTGTCAGTCTCTAAAGGACGTCATACCTTTAGAAGAAACAGTATGTATCGATTGAGATACCAGAACTGTGGTAGTGAAATGATTCCTTTAGAGTTACCCAACATGCCAATGTCAGGTCTGCAAAAGGAGATTTGTTATGACAGATGTTGGGTACCACCATATGTCAATGCAGAAGCTACAATTCTGCATTTATTCAGATGGCTTACTATAAAATGAGACACTCAGGAGTGCCTGGCACATAATATTTCTAGAATCACTTCCCAACCAAAGAACTCATCTATATCACAGAGGTTGTTCTTAGCTCTGATCAGTTGACTCATGTCCTGGCTGTTTTCAAAACTTGATGTTTTTAAAGATGACTTAGGGATTCTTTCCACCATTGGTTGGTGCTGATGCTTCTAAATCATACCTGTGGTTTGGAAAATTTTGTGCATATAAGAACATTATCCTCTCCAGTCTTACATATTGTACTTATGGATGTTTAAATTACATCTACATATATATGTGTATGTATTATGTATAGATGGGTGTATATCTATCTGTCTATCTATCTATCTATCTATCTATCTATCTATCTATCCATACGCATGTATATAGATGGGTATGTATGTTAAGCTTACATCGTCCCATTGATCCCACATCCAAAAGATTAGCAGCACTGTAATGATTGGCAGTGCAATTTTTAATATTAGTTCTGTAGAAATTTCAAATTATAGTGCCCGTTACTAAGCTACAGAAAACTGATAAACAGCTCTAATTAGCGTTTTCAGTGTGCCAGTCCACAAAAATTATCCACATCATGGGAAGATACTACCAAGATAAGAATATTTTTTTCTTTTCCAGGCTAGCTTTTCACTGTACATTTTTGCATTTACATGATTTCACAAAGTTACTATTACCTTTATATTGCTATTTTTGCCTTGTTCCCTAAAGGTAATAATTGTTGGGGAGAGAAATGTTAAGAAAAAAACTGTTAGTACTTCTCCTTTCCCCACTCTTCTTTCTGCCCTGCAATAATCAAATGTGTTATGAATATGATGAAGTGCATTGTCTAGAAAATGTTTTCCTAAATCTTTGATTCTCAGTTTTGTTGGCTTTTTCCATGGAAACAATATGATTCCTAATCTAGAAAAACAGCAGATAGCCAGCATCAAAGAAGAGAGATAGAATCTCAAACTATCCTACAGTGATTGAAAATTTATCTGTATTTATTATCTGATCTCATAAGAAACTAAACAATTTGAGTCCTTTTTTTTTTTCTCTTCCTATCCGGCACCTATTGCCTTCACACTGAGCTCTGTTCTCCATTTCTTTTGGAAAGCAAGACTCTGAAGTTGAAGATTAAAGACAAGGAAAAAGGCACAGTTTAAAACGGAAGTACACATGAAAACAACTTGAGTGATTCTTGTGTTAGGTCTCTGATATTCAGCATATAATAACAGGACTTATATCAGCTCCACTTCCCTATAAAGTCTTGAAATCCACTGATATTTGTAGCAAATAGGAAAAGAAATACAATGTGTAACAGAGGTAAGCTGAATTAACATTCTACAAAAAAGAAGCAAATATTGTCAGTGAGAAACACTGATTTCTTTTTTTAATAAACTAAAAATTTCCTGTAATCTCCTGTCTCTAAGTCAGAAGCAGCCTTTTTGTTGAAAGCGTATAAATTCTCCTTATGGTTTTTGCTTTCAAGTCTGTTGAGATGCATCTCCACCAGCCAAAGCTTTTGTCAGTCAGTGGAAAAGAAAGGCAAAAAATCTGGTTCAGTCTTTTAGGCAAAGAATCTTTTGATTCTGTTCATACTGTACATTCTGAAGTTCAGTGGAGCAAAACTAAAATAATTAGGTAAAATAGGACTCACCTAAAGACTGAGAGGGATCTGGGAGGTTATTTTTCTGGCTCTTTTTCTTTACCCACTCGTGGGTTTTTGTTTTGGGACATGGATACCATAGGACATTAACTAACTGTTGCCAAAAGACCCTCTAGACTATGCTGTTATTAGTGCAGTTGTCTTCCCTTTTGTGAACACCTTGAGGGCTTACAGACTTGCAATAGCCATAGAACAACCTGCACAATTTATGTGACTGAAGTGGAAAATGGTGCCAAGGTTCAGGTACAGTTATTTTTAACAGATCAGGAGCAAGAAAGATAGTCATTTTGAGAAGTGTGGGAGACAGCTTTGTGGACGAGACAATTGCCTTTGAGTGACTGAGGATTGTTCCCAGCCTACCTCTGGTTTGCAGCTATTAAATTATTTCATATGGTAGATAGCACTATATAT